CTGCCCCCACCACACACTTTGATTTCTTCTGTCAGGCAACAGATGTGGGGTAACTCTTCACCTGAAATACACATTGGGATCATCAGGCGAGCTTAAAAAATGACCAGTGTTGAGGTCTCACCAGCCAATAAGATCTGAACCTCTGGGCTAGCTGGCCAGATCTCTGGCTGGCAGGTGGCCTGGTTCCTTCCGGCTTCTTGATTGTGTCATGGGGTTCCTCCCCGCCTCCAACAACTTTGGGCCTGTAACTCTGACTGTCCTCAGCCAGTGCTATGGCTCGGCCTGCAATCACTGCCTAGTCCACTGACCTCATGTCGATGATCAGGGCGTCTGTGTGTACGATCTTTTTCCAGATGTGTTCTACCAGCAGCTCGGAGACCTGGGTAAGCAGCTCACAGTCCCCAAACATGTCGAACCTCAAGTAGCCGATGTTGTCCTCCAGCACATTTGTGTGGAAGGAGAACTTGATCAGATCTTCAAAGACTTCTGGGGAAGGAATCTGGAAGAATGGGAAGCCTGGCTCAGTATCAGGAGCTCAGGAGTGCCCAGGAGGAGGGTGCCATGGGCTACTGAGGAAATGGGAAGGAGTTAGTGGTGTCTGGGAGGGGAGCATGTGGGTGATGGGCCCTGGGATGGGAACCACATGTGGTGTGTGAGTCAGCTGATCAGAGACATCCTTGCGGCGAATGCTCAGCTCTGCCAACCCCTCATTTGGTGTCTGGAGAAGTATGGTGCTTCCAACCTCACCAGACACTTCTTAATGTCCCTGGGCCCATCTCTGCTGGGACGAGGAGGAGAGGTCTTAGTAATCGTTCTCAGGGGCCTGGCCCTGGGATAAGCTCTTCGCAGCCCTCATCACATTTGACAGCAACCCTTTATAAAAGGCACTGTTATTCTCATCTTTCCAGGACAATTCTGAAGCACAGACAAGGCGACTAACTTGTCCGAGCCCTCACAGACCGAACAGGTGAAAAAGGAAGCCACTCCAAACTCCGCCCACTCTCTTGCACTCCATGGCCCTGCCTATACTGGAAAAAACAAAACAAAATAAACAAAAACCCAACATGGCAATTTTGGAAGTTGGGGTCCTGGAAGCCTAGTGCAGACCTCCTGGTAGGATTCTCCTTTGTTTTCTCCTAAACACGCTTGCAAGTGCTGGGACTCAGTGACCTAGACAGAGGGCTAAGAGGTCTGTGTGGTCTGGACAGTGGCCTGCAGCCCTCCCTGGCCCTTAGCTCATGTCTGATTGCAGGCGATTGCCCTGCAGCAAGGCTCCCTGTGGAAACTCCAGTCTTGCATCTTCCGACTCTGCCTCAGACCTCTCCATGTGGCACACGTCTATGTAGCTGCAGCATGCAAGAGTCTTGACCTCCCACCACTGGAGGACGGACGCTGATAGCTCCTTTTCACCTGTCGAGGACTGGTTCTAGGACGCATTCCCAACACTCGCCAGGGTCACAGGGGGATCTTCCACACCCTTACTTCCTCCTTGCCGTCTTCCTGCCCAGTGACTACCTCCCAGATAAGCTGCCTATACCTTAGCCCTCACCTCAGGCCAAAGCAAAGCCTTGCCTGCTCACTGTGACCTCACAGCGAAGCCACCGGTGAGAACGGGTGGAGAGGTGACTGGAGTGCTCTTTGATGGAAGCCTTAGGTAGAGCGGCCTCCATGAATCGCATGCACTTTGGCCATGGCCAGGTCACTTTCCTTTCCACCCGCTCCCAGCTGCCACCATCAGCTTATTGCACCCGCTGGTGTTCCCAGGTGCTTTGGTGCTGGCTTTCAAGTTTGCTGACTGCAGCCACCTTGCTTCAAATTTCCCATCAAGCTGGTCCTTGGAACAGACCTATATTCCACATACCCCCTCTCAGGAGAAATACTGTGCATTGTTTAGAGAGAAGGTGACAAGTTGGCCCCCTACTCAGGTCTTTGGGCTGTGCCTTAGCACCCAAAGTATGGACCAGCCTCCATACTTTACCTCTAAGGACACAGTAGATCCAGCTAACATAAATTTCATACTTTCAGGGAAAGAAAAAATCTCATGTTGGAGCCTCAGATAACTCGCTTACCCTCTTCCCCAACACTGATAGTGGGAACTCACAAAAACTCTTGCTTTCTTCCTGGCTAAGACAGAGAGTCCTTCCATCCCAGCGTTTCACATTAGATTTGTTGAGTATTCTATAGGGCTGTCCAGGGACCATGGACCCAGAGAGTAGAAGACACAGCATGGTGAAGGGAAGAAAGGACATTACTAACACAAATGTAAACACAGAAGCCTGGAGCTGCTGTCTTGCATGTGCGTACAGCCACACACATGCTGTCTATTGGACAACTCACTCCCAGGATTGGGTCAGGCCAAGTCTTTCTTGTATCTTACCTGCATGGGCACAATTCCAGGAATGCGGTCCTTGGCATCCTCTGGGATGTGAGCTGTCTTCAGGTGTGGGTCCCCAGAGAGCATTTGCAGGTCTGCTCCCAGCATCTCAGCCAGGGCCCCTTCTGAAGTCACCCTTGCATACCGGCTCTGCAGACCGCTTAGCTTGGCAGCCATCTTGGCCCCCAACTCAGGGGAGGCATAGTTATCTGCCACTAGTTTCCCAGCTGTCTGTAGTACCGTGGGCACCTTGGCACGCAGGGCCACTATGTCCTGGGCTGTGGAAAGGGCCTCACTCATGGGAACGGTGATGTCAGGTTCCACACCAGCCAAGTCCCAGGCCTCACCGGTGGTGGCACTCAGGGCCATCTGGGTAGGCATGGAGGCATACAAGGGACTGTTGCCCACCTGGTAGATGCCCACGGAGAGGGCCCCCCCAGCTGTGGGCTCTCCAATGACTGTGGCCCGCTGCAGGTCCTGCATGGTATGAGCGAAGGCCTCCGCTGCAGGGCCACTGGTGTGGCTCATGAGGATGTAGAGATCCTTGTGGGAGCCATAGCGCTGCCCGGCCACCAGCGGCAGGGTCCATATCTCCGTGACGCTAGACGTCGCCCTGTCAAAAACAGAATAGAGGTGCTGGCGGGGTTCTGCCTCAAAAAAGTAGGAGCAGAGCAGGGGCACGGCCGAAGAGTAGCTGCCGGGATTGTAGCGCAGGTCAACCACCAGCGCAGCTGTGTCCACCAGCCTCTGCCACACCAGCCGTACGAGCTGAGGCCCGATGGCCTTCACCGTCTCCAGCTCAGCCATGGCGTCGAAACGCAAGTAGCCGAGCTGACCTGGTAGCACATCTGTTTTGAACAGGGCCTCAATGAGATAGGAGAGTTCTTCTGGGGAGGGAACAGCGGGAGGTGGCAGGGGGACCTCCTCGGCCACCAGCTCGCCGGGGCTGTGGAACACCAGCAGGCGATGGTCCTCAGAAACCTCCTGCAGGTCAGCTGTGAGCTGCGAGGCCAGGGACTCCAAGTCCACCGCTGTGCGGTAGGCTCCTTGGGCCAGCTTGGATTGCAGGAGAGCTCTGGCCTGCCTGGCGACCTCCGGCCTGGCATAGTGAGCCTCCAGCAGGTGACCGGTGCCTTCGACCAAGGTACCCAGGCTGCGATGGAAGTCCAGCACCTCCTGAGCTCTCTCTAAGGCCTCCTCAGCCAGCACGATGGCATCAGGCACCACGCCACCACCCAGCCAGGCTTCACCGTGGTTGTCAATGAAGGTGAGCACAGGTACTGTGAGTGCCAGGCCACCCTCTGGCGAGTCCAGCAGTGGCACGGTGCAGCTGTGCAGCAGGCTCCCCGCAGTGATTTCCCCCACCAGTGTGGCCCAGCCCAGGGACTGCATTAGGAAGGCGAACTCTTCGGCAGCGGTGGCAGTTCTGTGGCTGGTAAGCAGGTACACCCCACGCTGGTTGCCGTATCGTTGGCCTAGCAGCTCCCTGTGGCTGAAGTGCTCCTGGGTGACGTTGGTGCGGCGGTCATAGGTGGTGAAGAGGCGCACGGGGCCAGCCTCAGGGCCCCGGAAGTAGGACAGCAGCAGAGGCACAGCAGAGGACGGCCCTCCGGGATTGTGACGCAGGTCCATGATGAGGTGCTCTGTGTCCTGCAGAGGCTCCCACACCTGGTGCAGCACGTAGGGACCCAGTGCCTTCAGCACAGAGGCGTCTGCAAATCTGTCAAAGCGCAGGTAGCCCACATTGCCTGGCAGCACAGACACCTGAAACACAGAGTCCACTAGCGCCCTCCGGGCAGCTTCTTCCTTGGGCACCTCAGGAGCGGCTTCTGGGGGGTCATTAGGCCCGGTCTCGGGCTTAGAGGAGCTTTCTCTGGGTCCAGTGGCTCTCACCAGGAGCCTGGGATCCTCTGACACAGCCTGCAAGCCAGCATTGAGCTTTGTCACTAGGTCCTCCTCAGAGACCACGGCTGAGTAGTCCATGCTAGCCAGGTGGTGTAGCAGGCCCGGCACTCGGTCCACCAGCGTGTAATAGTCCTGCAGGGCTTCCTGAAGTCGGAGGACAACCCCTGGCAGGGCACGACGCAGGGTGAGGATGGCCAGGGCCTTTTCTAGGGCCTGCTCGGCAGGTGTCCCCACACAGGGCAGTACTCCACTGCCTTCCCACGTCTGGCCACCTCCTCCCAGGGGTCCCAGGGACCTGGACACAGGTACTGTGAGGAAGAAGTTGGACTGGCCTATCCTCAGCTTCTGGAGGTCCAGGGCACCACCCTCCGTCCGCTCACCCACCACGATGGCCCTGCGCATCTGCTTGAGGATGTAGGCGATGTCCTCAGCCACGCCCCCAGTACGTCCACTGGTGAGGACTACCACGTCTTTGTCAGCACTGTATCTCTCCCCTAGGACCTTGGGCAAGGTCCAGATCTCGGTGGTGGTATTAGAGGGGCGATCATAGATGGTATCCACGTGCATGACAGTGTTCCCAGGGTGCAAGTAGGAGATGACATAAGGGATCCCAGAGATGTGACCACCAGCACAGTTCCGGAGATCTAGCACCAAGGAGGAGGTGTCCATGAGCTGCCTCCACACGTGGTCCACCAAGAACCCCCCCAGCTCACTCAGTACCTCCTGGCCAGGGAGGTCATCCACTCGTAGGTAACCCACGTTGCCCTCAAGAACCTCATGGTGGATGTTCCTCTGTAGCTGGACCAACAGTTCTTCTCGGGTGAGGTTGGTGAGTGTTGGCGCTTGCTGGGGCGTCTCGAGGGTACTGGGCTCGTAGGAGATGAAGAGGCGTGGGTCATTCAAGGAACTCTGCACTCCAGCTGTCAGCACGTGGGCCAGCGTTTGAGGGTCTGAGATGCCCAGAATCTCACGACTCTTCACAGCCTGCTCAATGGCTGCTTGCATTCCCATCAGGTTCTCAGGGAAGCAGTAGTTGTCCAAGAGGACCTTGGCCATGTCCAGCACCAAGCTCGGCTGGAACAGGTGCTGCATGGGGCCGGCCAGAACACAGAGCAGTGTGCTGGACAAAACCAGGACCCATTCTCTCGTCATTGGGATTCCAGGAGCCCTGACTCCTGAGGCAGAGCTCCCTTGACTGTGTGCAAGGCTGTGGTCTTGCTCCCACAGCTGCCTTTCTCCCTCGTCCTTCTTAGCAGGCAGACAGAAGGTCTGGGGCTCAACCTGGGAGTTAGATGTGAGGCTTCCAGCTCTGGTAAGCCTTTAATCCTGTCTAATTCAAGTGCGTGCATCAGGGGACTAGGAGGAAGAGGCCAGGGTGGTTTGACCCGGAAGGAACACTGCATCTCATCTTGCTGAGCCATGTCTCCACGGAATAACACAAATAATGGTGTTTATTTTGAGTTCCTGCCACATACTAGGCCCTGCACTATGCTTTACACACTCACAGTTTTTACTAAAGCCTTGCAAATGAGAGTTGTTAATCTATAAATAAATACCATTTTCCTACTACTGTGGGTGACCCATGGCTTGGGAATTAAGCAGATGTAGTTGAAGGCCTCGTTCTGCTACTGTTTATTCCGTAGACTTAGGAGAGTATCTTGTTTATTCAGTAGACTATGAGAGTTGTTGGGTAGATTAAATGTGAATGTATTCACAAAGCATTGCCGTGTCTGGAAGTTACCAGTGAGGTAACTCCATAACAAGTATCATATATATTTTATTGCCATGGAGTTCAGTAGCTAATTGAATCCACCATTTCCGATGGGGACAGGTGAAAGACAGTGAGAAGAGGCTGGGAAGGCCACTATCATCTCAGTGCCAAGGCCGAGGAGTCTGGGGCCGATGTTGGCCTCAGGAATTGAAGTTTATTCCTATACCCTGCTTATGCTTCTAGGTGCAATATAGGTCCCCTCACAAGTGTGCAACAAGATGAACGGAATGTCTGGATTTCAGTACATGGTATGACAGGTGAGGGGGTCAATACTTCCAGGTCAGATAAGGCTAACTGTGAGATCTAGTGAGCATCACTCTCTTTGTCAGTGGGGACCCCTGTTGGCTAAGGGCTCAGCTTCAGCCCAGTGCTTGCAGTGAGAAGTGAGTGGCCATCTGTAGCCCTAAGTCACACACAGAATACAGGTCATTCTCATACTGGGGCTATACCTGGGAGCCAGTCCCGGGCGCATTACTATGATCCACTTTTTCCTCATGAAAGTGCTGTGGATTTTGCTTGTGACTGACTTGCCCTGGATATCTAAAAACCTCTGCCACGGAGCCCACATCTGGAACCCCTGCTTTGCCCAGCCAGCCTTTAGTGGGCACGATTCTCTCATTTAGCAGCCATCCCCAGGTCAGACTGTAGCATGTGTGGGGGTGTTGTAGAGACAGAGAGTGGTAGCTGGCGCAGCCACTTCCCATTCCCACCTTCGGGCTTTTGAATTCTATCCAGAACACGCTGGCCGGGCTCAGTGAAGAGCAGAGAGCCCCACGGCGTCACAGCCAGAGATGGTGGTCTCTGGGATGAGGACGAGAGAGCTTACCTTGCAAGCTGGAAACCCGCAAGCCAGTTTCTGGAAATCATTATCTGAAGATGTTTACCAAGTGCTTTACAAAGGCCAGAGAGGTCAATTAGCTAAAACAAACATATTTTTAGCTCATTAGGATTTGTTTAATACCCAAGTGACATATGGTCTCCTCACTCCACTGTTTGCAGCCAATGGACACGAGGCAGATTTGCTGTGAGAATCAGCCTGGGGTGGGAAGCCGCAGGCACACACGAGGCCTCTCTGGGGGACTGAGTCTTTTCAACCTCCACCTGGGAAGCCTCAACTCCAAGCATTCTGTCAGAGTTCCTCTGAGGGTATGTATCTGTCACTGCTGGAGCCCAGGCCATGCTCTGGACAGGGAGAGGGTGCAGACTACCAAGAATAATGCTCTTTTTTTTGGGGGGGGGGAACATGTATCACAAAGATGCCCTCCAAGGATATGAGGCAGAAGGTCCTCATGTATACAAATGAACAGCTGTCCAGCATGGGCTGCAAAACTACCTACAACCCTTACCGCTGCCTAGGGTACACAATACCTTGATTGGGTGACATGAGATCCGGATCTGGTATTGTGACACACTAGTTGCAAGACTGACAAGAAGGCCACAACACCAAAATATACCGGACGTAAACAAGTTAAAGGAGGAAAGTCTTATGTTGATTCATGGTTTCAGAGCTTTCAGCTGCCTCCATTGCTTTTAGGCCAGTGACAGAACATGCTAGAACAAAGCTGCTCACTTCATGGTGGACAGATATGAGGGAAGGAAAAGAGCAAGGGTGTGAGAGAGAGAGACACACAGAGAGAGAGAGAGAAAGAGACAGAGAGAGAGAGAGAGGAGTGAGAGGGAGAGGAAAGAGAGGGGGAGGGGGAGGGGAAAGGGAGGAAGGGAGAGAGAAAGAGAAAAGGGGGAAGGAGAGGAAGAAGGAGAGAGAGAGAGAGAGAGAGAGAGAGAGAGAGAGAGAGAGAGAGAGAGAGAGAGAACTTGTAAAACAAAGTCACTTCCCGAAAACCCTCCTTTGGAGATCAGGAGTCCTAAGTCGTCATTGGTCAGTATTTTGTCACAGCAACAGTGAAGTAAAGTGGAACCCCTTTTCAGGTCCTATTTCAGGGCTGTTTTGAGGTTCCCAAATCTTGCTTCTTCCCCTGAAACACATGAGCTCGCGGTTTCTTTGTTTGGCCTGACTTGAGCATTTTTTTTTTTTGAGATTATTAAAAAAAAACAAAAACAGAAACAATTACCTACCATGTCAATCATTTCATTTAAAATAAGTAAGTGGTCTGGGGAGATGGCTCAGTGGATAAAATTCTTGCCGTAGAAGCACATGGTCTGGCATTCCAACCCTCACACACACATGAATCCCAGATGGGCATGGTGGCTCACCTGGAATCCCAGCACCTAGAAGGCAGAGGCGGGGTCCCGAGATCAAGCTGGCTAGCTAGGTCGGTCTAATCCCTGAGCCCGGATTTAAGTGAGAGACCCTGCTCCAAGATGGAGAGTGATGGACACCTGACACCAGCCTTTGGGCTCTACATGCATGAGCATCCCTCCCTACATGCATGCACACACATGAGAACATGGATACATGCACATGGATACCACACACACATAAAAAATGGGGAAGCTTGTGAATGCTCCAAATCACACATGGTTTTTCTGATCATTATTTATTGCCCTTGCTTTATAAATGCTTTGACCCAGAAAGTAACACAGACTAGAGGAGCCCCCGACCCCCTTCAAACCTGCACACCTGACTCAACATATCAGCTGTGGCAAAAGCGGCTTCTACAGCCCCCATCAGGATGCTCCTGTGTTAGGAATGATCAGGCCTAAAGGAAAAATGAAGTCAAGCAGACGCTGGTGAGAGAATGTTGCAGAGAGAGAGACTGACAGTTTTCTGATGAGCAGGGATGTGCACGGGCGGTGAACTGTAAGCGTGTGAGCAGGATGTGTCCAAGGGAAGCTAAGGCTGGTGGTAAGCACGTGGCTGTCTGGAGTGGGGATGACTTACAAAGCACAGCCTGCTATCAAAAGAGAAAGGGGTGCTAAACAGGGCGCTGTCTGACCCAGTACACACCACCCGAGGTGTCCTGCTCGGGTATGGGCACAGTCTCCTTGCTATCCTCACTAAAGGCGGAGCTGGGACTGTGCAGGGCAGAGAGTGGCATGTGTCCTAGCTGTTTCCCAAGAGGCTGCCAGGTGAATACGCCTGGCTAGCCTTTGAGAGATGGATGGTTTTGCTGCCTGTGGCTCACAGGCTGGAGAAACCCTGCGGGCTTCCTTGGCACATATTGGGGCAGAGATAGCAGGGTCATCAGACCCCAGGGCAGGTAGGTATTCTGCAGCAAAGCCCAGATTTTGTCTGCCTAGGTTCACGAGGCCTGAAACCACTCCCAGAGATCTGTCCCTGTGTTCATGTGTCTGGTGTATTTTCTTGGCATTCTTCAGCTCTCTCCCCTTGTTCCTGGCACAAAGGAAAGGCCATAAAAGAGGTAGAGGATTGCCCTTCTGTGAGCAGTGTAAGGACAACACTCTCCTTCTATGGTTTCAGCATCTCCACGCACATCACAGTGACCACTTTACCATAAACAGAAGGTGCTTTAGGAGCTGTGTCCAAAGTAGCACTGGAGATGGGCTCATCTGCCATGTAAGTGGCCATAGGATGGCCATATTGTGTTTCAATTTATGGCGGTGGGTGAGCAAGTTTTGACAAATGCTATGCACAAATAACCCAGTGGCAGGAAAGCCAGAGACCCATCTCAAGTCTCTCCTTGTGTGTTCTGCCCTTGTGTACTGCACCACATCAGTCTGTCCTGTGGCACAGGGCATGTTGGCCCTCCAGAATTGACCAAAGCAAGAGGCTTATGGTCTCACCTCCAGAAGACTCATGACCATAAGTGGCACAAGCCAGAAGGATGTTAGGCCCGTGCTGGGCCTTGGCAGCTGTGTGACAGGCTGGCATGTGTTTAGGGGTGGAGATGTTGAAGATAAGGATGTGTTTCTGGAAGGGGAAGTCCCCTGAGGGGCTGTTGAGACAGGATCTGAAAGGCAAACACATGCAGAGGGGACCTGCCTGGTGTCCATTCTTTACGACACTAAAGCCAAACTTCATGGTTGTCTGTAAGGACCCCTGACCCCAGCTTTGTCTTCTGCGGAGTCCTTGATGCTCCCCTGAGCCTGGACTGTTGCTCTCCAGAGCTGGAACGTCTGGTAGGCCAGAGTGGGTGGTGCTAGAGTTTGGGGTCTCCCTCACAGGTGATGCCACTTGGGTTGTGCAGCTAGAAACTGGGGGAGGGAGTGGGGAGAACATTGGCCTGAGGAAGAAGAACAGGCTTAGGTAGCTTGTGAGTAGGATTTGGCTGGGGAGATGGGCTTCTGAGCACGACAGTGGTGGACAGATACTGATGGAGACGCCCTTGGGCACTAGGTGGAGACAGCCTAAGGTTGTCTGTCTCCTGGAGAGAGACATTCTGCTCTGACATGTGTATATGGGCAGGAGGTGAGGGTAAAGTTGGGCGGCTAATTTCCAGCAAACTTCTGTCCGTGTAGCTGCTCATGCCAGCACGCGTGCGTCTGGGAAATCACACACACACACACACACACACACACACACACACACACACACACATGCCTACATACAAATGCACTCACTGACCCCAATGTGCAGAATGTGCAGATACCACACACCTTTATCTCGTGGAAGCTCCATGCCCCTCTCCCCTGGTTCCCCTACCTCTGGGAAAGCGATGGCTCATCTTTTAGGGGCTAATTTGGCAGACGGGCAGGGCTGTGGAACTGGAGAGCCCTCAGCTGTGGCCTTACACTATGGAAAGACACATGCCAGACATTTGACTTGATTTCTAAATAAAACTCTCTCACACACAGAATCATCCCTAGGACCTGGAGAAGACATCACCAACCGATCACCATTTGTGAACAGCGCTGCCACGCCATGCTGCCCGGCATGTCTCAGGAATGTATCTTTTCTTCAACTGTACCAATAAAGAATAATACTTCACTGTATTTTGTGTTAAAGCTGTTCATTGGTTCCATGGAAACATTTAATGTAGATCATTGTTTTAAATTATGTGGGAGCATCAAGCCATGAGAGCGGTCCAGATCTTTCCAAGTTCCCCGGGGCCCTGCCTGGCCAGAGGGCATCAGGCTCTTCCTTACCCCATCAGTCCTATGAGCCACAGGGAGAGTCAGGTGAGAGGTTGAAGTACAAGACTGGAAATCCTGTCCTCCCTAGGGGACACACTACTTAAGGAAGCTGGCAGGTGCAGGCCGAGTCAATGGCAGTAGATGAGCAACAGAGCCAGGAACCCTCACCTAATAAGGCTGGACCTCTGATCATTTCAGTGCAGGTCACCAAGGAAGGAAAGGAGGCAAGTTTCAAATAGTTAACCAACAACACATTTGATCCCAACAAATTCAGCCCCTAGCCTTGTCCCCGGTGGAGTCCTCAGGCAGGAGATGTTCCTGCCTGGGCTGCTGTCCAGACAGAGTAGATAATTTCAGAGGCCCAAGTCATAGGCAGTCCCTCCCAGATGGTCACAGAATTGGAATAAAGGCAAGTGGCCTTGCATGACCCCTGAAACATATGAGGACTGCCCCAGTAGTGAAAACAGCTCAGATCACAGTGAGTGTCGGAGGGCCGAGGTCCTGAACTGCCTCTCCACTCTGGGGTTGCTTGGGGATGTTTACTCAGGGGCCGGCTTTTGTCAGAAATCACATGGCCACAAAGTGAGCATGGGCATGGAGCAAGCAGGTCATGCTGGAGCACAGCAAGTGGTGGATGCGGACCTGACTCAGCCCTGCCCAGCCTCGTGCTGGGCCTTCCATATCTAGTGACTCCTGCAGTACACAGTGACCTGCTCAACTGCATGGGGCACTTGGGAAGGTCCCAGGCTTTAGGACCCCACAGACTCGGGGCAGACGCTGACCGCCGGGTGGCAGTAACTTGCTTGCCGAGTTTTGATTTCCACAACTGACCATCAGCGCTCACAATGCACATCTCAGTGGGGGCTGGAAAATATCATGACGTGAAGCGATGGAGCCCACGTCCTCCTCTACTTCTTCACTTCTTGGCTTCCTGGACCCTGTAACTCCCATGATGCTCTGCACCTCACCCCTATCTTCTGCTAGTTTCTGCTCTCTCCCATTCCCCTTTTCTCCCCTTTCCTTTTCATCATCTTTCTAGCCACCATCCCTTCCAGGGTCTCCCACTTTGCCCTCAGACCCATATACCCCAGTCATTGTCAATTCAGCAGAGGAACCCCCTGGGAACAAGAAGGGAAAGTGATTCTTTTCCCCCTCCAGGATAGCTCCAGATCAATTTAGCCCCCATCATGCCCGGGGGTGCAGGATCCTAGCAGGACCTCTTCCCTGTGCTTCATCCCCACCCCCGGTGGCTGCAGGGACTACCTGCACCCACATTCCGCCACACTCATTCCCTCATAGTGGTACTTGAGGGTTGGTACCCCCATATCATCCTTGTAGAGGATGGAGATGGGGCTCAGTTTGGTGGGAACACAGCAGGCTTTGCCCACCTTCGTGGGGAACTTGAGATGCACCAGGGTCTGCACGATGGCATGTTTTGTGGGTGTCACATCATCAGCCAGTGGGAAGAAACAGCCTCCTTTACACTCATAGGCGTCATATTCCTTGGGCGCAATGATCCAGCTGTCCCAGCCAATGTCCTCGAAGTTCACCCTGAGGGACGTCCTCTGGCAGTGACTGCTGGCTCCAGTGCTCCTCTTCCTTCTAGCTAAAAAGGGTCCCACAGCTGTGTGCCCATCTACTTCCTCCTCCTCCTCGTGGCTCTCTCCTGCCTCCTGGTAACCCGTTTTGGGTGTCTTCACAAGCACCGTTTCCTGCTCATGGCCGATCATCTCCTTCAGCTCCAGTCTGGTCTCCTTGGTCCCATTGCTGCGGTCATTGGAGAAGACGACAAAGAAGGGCAGGTTTTTGGAGCCTGGTGGGACACTGATGTCCAGCGTGTCACAGCCCTTCCTGTGGCTCGCCACGGTTACTTCGAGCTTGTTTTTGTTTGTGGTGGAGTCTGCCCTGACCCACCGCTTCACAGCACTCGAGACTTCCAAGGTCTCCCAGCCTTCAACCTGAATGTCCTGAGATACCAAGAAGGTCCTGGTCCCCGAGGCACCATTCCAAGTGTCCTCTCCATCCAGAACATCGTAAACAGCCATGTTTCCTTCCAGCCCATGAGTGGAGTCCACATGATTTTGACAGGAGACGTAGAGACGGAGCTCAGCCCTGGTGATCTGCTCGTGCCTAGGGATGGAGATGTTGAAGAGCAGGATGTGTTTCTGGAAGGGGAAGTCGTCTGTGGCAGCTGTTGATATAGCATCTGGAAGGCAAGCACACACAAAGGAGCATCTGCCTGCTGGTGCCCATTTTTGTGATACCAAAGTCAAACTTCGTGGTTTACTGTGAGGGACATCTAGGACATAGATTTTGCCACTAGTGTCTCTACTCTGTGTCAAGAGCATTTGAGAAGGTTCTCTTAGCCCCCATCATGCCCAGGGGGTGCAGGATCCTAGCAGGACCTCTTCCCTGTGCTTCATCCCCTCCCCGGGTGGCTGCAGGGACTACCTGCACCCACACTCGGCCACACTCATTCCCTCATAGTGGTACTTGAGGGTTGGTACCCCCATATCATCCTTGTAGAGGATGGAGATGGGACTCAGTTTGGTGAGTTTTTCCCAGGAAAAACAGAGGCAGGCATCTTCAGCTAGGGCTAATAGTGTCTACTATTTATTGAGCACCTACTATGTGCTTGGCATTACACTATGAGTTTGGGAGAATCTAGTTATTATCCCAACTTCATACATGTGGAAACGGTATCTGTAACTTTTTACTGTTAGAGTACACACAGGTAATCGGCGCCCTCATCTAAGGCAGGCCAGAAAACACATTGTCGGCTTTAGAGTGAAGATTCCACAGTCCTGGCTGGAGGCAATGAAAGCCCATATTTAGATAAAATAAAAATTGCAGCATTAGAATGTTTGGAATTGCGTTAATAACTTCCATCAAAAGTGAAAATGGATCTTTTAGAGGAAAAAGTGTTTCCATCCCAACAGTTTTGTTACGCTGGGCACACATGGGAATTTTCTCTTAGCCTCGTAAATGTCTCAGATTCCCACTTCTGGGCTGCGGCTTGACCACAGACACTGCCATGTGAGTCCCCACCCACATGCCACCACTGCCTTGTCCTGGGAGACACGTTCTGATAGGCCCAGCGGATGGATGCCTGGAAGTACAGATATTTCTAAAGCCCTGCACGGTGGCCCTTCTGTGTATGTGCCCGTGCTAAAGGGCTATGTGTAAACCAGGGGTAGTGAGCGCTTAACTGTGAATAAGGAAAAGGAGAATTAAAAAAAAAATGACACCTGTGATACAAGTCACTTAAAAATGATGAGTCTTTGTTGTTGTTGTTGTTGTTTTACATTTAATAGTTGTGAACCACTCAGAAAGAGGCCTGGGTTTGCTCAGATTAGGGGGACTCCTGTATGCTTCACCATGAGCAGAGACCCATGCTGTGCTGAAACCTAGCAAGTGGTCTAAAGAATGGAAGCCTCAGTCATGACTCTGTCCCTCATTGAGTTTGTATCCTTGGGAAATCTGAGCTTCTTGGTGCCTCAGTTTCCTCTCTTGTAGAGTGGGGCCCATCTTACCTGCCTTTATCGAGGTAGCACATGGGACTTACAGGCCAGTCATGAGCCAAGAGCTGATGCTCAGTTAATACCTCTGTCCCCCTCCCAACCATGCAAGCCTGGTGCTGTGACAAAGCATGTGGCCCTTTACTCAGGCTCCCTGTGGTCTCCTCATTCATCATGGATGCGCTGGTCCAGCTCCTGAGTAACAGGGTTAATGCTGTGACAAATGAGAACAGTGAGAACTGTACATTGCATTCATGGCCTGAGGTGATCTTACTGTGGGGCACCTCTACAGTGGCCATTGGACCACTGTCCGACATGAGAAATCACATGCCTACTGGGATTAGATGGGTGTTTCCTAGGTCATGTATGTGTGTTTGTATGTATGTATGTATGTATGTATGTATGTACGTATGTTGATGTTGCTGCTGTTGCTGCTGCTAGTGCATGTAATAAATGTGTCAAATATATATGTGTAGGTGGGCTGGTGTCTCTGGGCTTCACATTCCAGCCCATGGGATATGAATATTTAGGCCCCAATAAAAACAAAACAAAACAACAACAACCTCCCCCCACCAAAACATACGGATCATATTCCATTTAAAAAATGAATCCATATTTTTTTAAAAAGTAAGGCAAGTTTCCTTGACACTTCCTTTGGGCAGTCAGACAACTTAGCAGCACTAGCACTAAGCATGAATGATGATCACAAGTGTCCTTAGACAGGTACAGGTTCTGCAGGCTGGCCAGGTCTGGCCAGGGCTGGCTGTGGCCCTGAAGTGGGACCCTTGGGCAAATCTCTGGACCAGAAGCAGGGAGGCCCTGGGCTCCTGGTCCTGCAGAGCGGGATGCCACAACAGGATAAGGGGAGCAGGCTCTGTGCAGGAAACAGGGCCAGTGACATGACCTTGCAAGCATGCCTGGCCTGGGTTCCCCAGCCCTGGCAACCCCAGCTCTCTGTCCAGTAACCCGTTCTACCCAGATTCTGGAACTCTGTGACTTACCAGTTACAGACTCACCTCCATGTTTATCTTCCAGTCTTCCTAAACCAAGGACACTTATATTTAAAGCATATTGGATAGACACATGCCTTCTGTGCTGAGGATGACTACATCCAAAACAATAACTGGGATCTCTTCTAATTAACATTTTAAAATCTAGGTTTAAAGTCATTTTATAAAAGAGAAATTGGCTTTCCTTCAAAGCTAAAAAATATACAGGTTTACTGGAGTTAAATGAATGATCCATGTCTAAGTCCGAAGGGGACAAGAAGGGAGAGTGGGAGAGAAGTCAAGAGGAAAGGGGGGGGGGGAGAGACGTGGGGCAGGAGGGGAAGCAAAGGAG